TTTTTTTTTTTTTTGGCAACATTTTTATTAAAATGTACGAGACAAGTATGGCAACACTGAAATTCTGTAAGTACAGGGAAGTCCAAAGAAATTGCCAAAGGGAAGCAAAAACAGAATCGTTGAACAACAGAAATAGCCGGGACTTAAGTACATTTTTAAATTGCTGCAAAATATTTGTTGTAGTTAAAGAAATAGTACTTTAATTCAATAGAATTCAAATTCAAATTTAGCACTTTAGTCTCATATGATTTAATGTGACACTAAATGAATACATGCAAACTTAGTTTAAGGAATACTTAATCCACAAAATGACTTTGTAAATGAATCAGTCATGCTGTGTTTTTTCTTGCATGTCTCCACAGAAAATGGCAACATACTGATTTACTGATTAATTGGGGACCACCTTTAATGACTTAAAGACTATATCAAAACATCAGTTTACAAACACACACAACTTGTGCAGAATAATCCAAGTCTCATTTATAACATCTTTTGCTCAGTACTTCACAAGCACATGCATTTGTGATGGCTGCTTTTTATTTTGCCCACCTACTGCATCAAACAGAGGTTTGGACATGCTGATAATTCTAGTTGGATATTTAAAATAACATTACAACACGTTTTTCAAATCAAACAACAAAATCGATTGTTTGTAAATGCCCTCTGGAATAACACGTAGTGGCGTCTTAGGATCTGACGTCACTATCAACAGGAAGACATCATCTGTTTGTGCTTTTCAAAACTGTTATTAATAACTGCTGGAAAAATATATTTGTTTTATGACCTGACAAAGCTTTTGTTAAGTTTTGGTTAGGATTGGACACAGAAGCGACCAGGTTAGATTCAGTGACAGATTGTGGTTTGGGTTAAATATGTGCTTCGTTAAGGGTGAAGGGCTTTGTTGTCATGGTTACTATTACATATATGTGGTTGAGGCTGTTGAAAGATTGCGGTCATGCTTGAAAACAGCGGTTCCCAACTAGTGGTGGGTCACGGTCCAAAAGTGGATCGTTGGCCCATTCTGACTTGACTGCAAGTGAGTCACACACATCTCAAGTTTGTAAAATATACAGTTTATTTTGAATTACAGTGAATTTCCAGCACAGAGCTTTTATTTTGAAGTGCTGATTCCTGCTGTAGAGTGAGTGACTAACGGACAGTTACTTAAAAGAGACAGCAAACTAGCTGGACCACATGGCCAAACGCCAAGTATGACATTGAATGTATGAAACTGTGTGGACCTTGAACTAATGACTAAGGAGAAATCTGGACCCCGTGGCTGGACCAGCAGAGAACCACTGCTTTAAAAAACATCCACTATTTGGAACAAGAATTGAGCAGTGGCCTTTCATGTCAAATTCAGATGTTTTGTGAACCCATGCATCCACCCCGACCTCATCTCTGACAACAAATACCCCTTTTCGACAGTCATGGGCTGGCTTGGCTTGGCTTGGCTTGGTTTCGTTTAGTTCTTGCTATCAGCCCAGCAGGTATATGCATTTCCATTACAACAGGGCTACCTGCTTGAATGTGTGGGCTCTAGTTTCCCGGCGCAGTGCAGGGTGGTGCAGGGTGGCGAACCCCGCACAGAGCTAGTTTCAAGCAGTGCAACCCGAGGCGCGCTCAGTTTGGTAGTTTGGCAGACCAAGGTGCGCTGAGATGGGTGTGGCGGCGCAGCAGGGGGAGGTGCCGACAGATCCAGCTTGGCGCAGTGACAGTTTCGTGTCAAAAGGCTTCGCCGAAAGTGCGCTAAAAGCTCGCCAGCTGTAACCAGGTCTTCTGTCAGCGCAGGCGGAGCGCAGCCTGTGTAAGCCGAAGTTTGGCTGACCAGCGGACAGTGCGCACACGTCACCAAAACCTCACAGGCAAGTTTCCAGAATATCAGGCACATTAACGATGCAATAAATACCCAAAAAAAAAACACTATTCAATGCAACTATCTACAATCAGCACATAAATATATCTCTATATCGACTGTCCCGTCACATCTGATGTCAGATCAAAGGCGATTGGCACCGTTTGGCACGCATAATGGAAACCCAACCTGATTTGATTAACACAGCTGCTCTCAGCCAACCACAAACAGCCACAGAATCAGATAGGGAGTATATATTCAGCATCTGTCATCTTAGAAAAGTCAAAAGAAAAGAAACAGAGTGAGACTGCGAGAGAGAAAGAGAGACAGCGCACGCACGAGAGAAACGCAACATTGATTTTCAATTGTAGTGACCTCCTCCCAGGCTACCTTTGCATCATCAGCCCGTGGAGGTCTGCTCGCAGTTCCGTATATTCGGACCATCCTGGACCAAAACATCAGTTTCCTCCTGGGAGGAGTTTGGCCGTGTAACACTGCTGCTCTCTTCTGCCATGGTGAATTGAGTAAACTCTCATTACGCCTTCGCGCGGCGCATTTAAAGGCGAGGAGAGGGGCTCATTTGATTGGTGTGATGTGTGTAAAACCCACTCCCTCTTTCCGACTTGCGCAGGTAGGAGGGACGGAGGTGGGAAAGAGGAGTAGCTGCGCCAGGGCGCACGGTGTGCCAAACTTGCAAAATCCGCCTGGCCACACCCAGTTGGCGAAGCGCAGGTGCGCTGCGCCTCCGCCTCGCCCGGTCTGCGAAACTAGAGCCCTCTGTCTTTAATTGATAACGGCTTGTCTTGAGTGATGATGTTTAAAAGCAGAGGGCTGATCCACAGTTAAAGTCCCCTGTTATTTTTGCTGCATGTGTTTTTCCACAGCAGAGCAGGTAAAAGAAGTTCACCTGTTGGAGGTGAGCTGTTTGCAGAGGTGCAGTAAGAGCCTGGGGCCGTATTCACAGAGCGTCCTAGTACAAAGAGTTGCTCCAAGTGATCTTAGTATTGTGACATTTTCTAAGAATTTCCCCTTAAAGTTAAGACTAGGTCCTTGTAAATATAGAAACAAAACTGGTAGGAGTATGGAGGAGGACTTTTAAGAGTGTCTTCAGCAGGTGGAAGTGGTGGAAAGACAAAGTGGTAGGAGAGAAATATTCTCCAAAGGCTGGATGACAGTAAGTAAATGAAATGCTACAGATTAGATTATGCAGGGATAATGTTTGTGGTCGATCTCATTAGGGATACACACACATTTCCCACCTAACGCTATAACACCAGAAATAAAGTAATCAACACTGAGACATTTGGAAAACTGGAAAAATGAGTGATGACTTGGCTCTATCTAAACCTTCCATCAGCAGAGATATCACACTAACAATGACTTCACTTTCACCGTGTCATATTGGGATGCAGTTCATTTAATTTCCACTGGGTGTCGACACCTTGCAGGCTCACAAAGGGGCGTGTCTGTGACAACCAATCACATCTGTTAAAAGAATGCATCCTACCTAGCAGCGGGGGCTAACCGTGCCTCCTCACTAAGGTAAAGGTTTGTGTCCCTTCCTTGCTCAGAGTTGCTCTTAGAAGTTTCCTAAATCACTCCTAAGCTAGGACTCCTTACTAAAGGGTTTTTTGACTGAGTTAGGAGCTCTCTGACAGTGTTCTCAGAATGTTTGTGAATACAGCCCCTGTGGTTTGCAGCTCTTTATCTAACGTCTCACTGTGGTAGTTTCTGCTTTTACTCTTCCTCCCTGTGGTATTATTAGACTTGGCTTTATTATAGAGAGGCTGCTAACAAAGTTCTGTGAATTCAGTTTTTTACACATTTCATTTGACACAGATTCCTCACAATAAAAATCCTCTTATATTTTGTTATGTAAAAACTTTTATTATGAAGCCGCATAATAAGGAAATGTTGAGTTTTCGAGCAGCAACTTCACACAACTTCTAATACGGCTGAAAGAGAACATGAAACAGTAAAATGAAGCAGATATCTAAAGTAAAAACAGGAAGCAGGAAACCTAACACCTAGAACCAAACCCAACTCCAAACCAGAGACTCAGTTAGAAGCTGCAAAAGTACTGAGAGCTGAACACACAGAGACTTTTAAAGACACCTTTCTCTCTGGTCTCCTGGAGACAGAGGTGAGTAGAGTCTCGCCAACACACACAACTGGTAATGAAAACGTAAACTGCCGCAGCATGGCTTCACTCGCCGCGGCTAAAAGTGACAGTAGAAAAGGCCCAAAAGTCAGCTTGTCCTTTTCTCCTGTGGTGGCAGTTTCTACTAGACAAAACACACAGAGTCAGAAACTTGTCTTTCTGTAAGTTTAATTCAGCATCTGCAGATGGACTCACAACAAACAGTCAAGAAGGAGCAGAGTGCAAAGAGTGAGCCCTGAATACAGGAGATGTCAGATACTTATACACAACAGCTGAGGTCAGGGGTCTTTAACAAGCATCGTCAGAGAGGTGACAAAGCAGTTTGGGTCATCTTATCTAGTCATGTCCTCGGACATCAAGTAAAGCACTCACAGCTTGTTACACACTGACAAAGAGTAAACGTCATGTAAGGCACTTGTGCTTGTGATATCCTGACAAGACATAAAATGTAAAGTTACTTCACATTCTTTCTGCTTAGTGGCACATAGTACAGAGGCCTAAAAGTTTCCATTACATAGGTTAAAAATATTTATTTTAATTTATATTATATTGTTGATTACCTTTTTGATTATATGAATAATTTCCATTTCACTCCCACCATAATTACCACAGCCTCTACGAGTGCTGTCATTCTTCTTGGCAGGATGGTCTGAAGTTTGTCCTTTGTCCTCTTAATTGGCTTCACACTCTTCTGTCACTTCCCATGAAGCCAGTCATGAGAAAGACTCGGACATCTCCTCATTCAAAAAATTTGCTTTTTGTTTCAAATAAAATGTACTGCTCTTGATCAGGAGAGCTTTAACATCAACAAAAGTAAAACAAAAAAACAAAAAATCACCTCTGATGAACTTTGAACCCAAAAGGAGCATTACACACTTTATAGAGGAAGTATTTGTTACGTTGAAAATTGGTTTTGTGCCCACCACCCTGTAGAAAATGTATTTACAAACACTCATATCACTTTTCTTGTTTGCCTCAATATAATAATGACAAGAAATACTTAAGTAAAGTTATCTGATACTTATCAAGATCATCATCAGTGGAAGTGTACATCGTCATTTTGGAGTTGTTTGGGCAATGACATCATATTCTGGAGACATGTCTCTACGATTCACTGACATGTACGTTCTGTCCTCTTCTTTCGGCTTCACATGCTGTCTGGCTCTCCTTTGAGGAACAAAAGAAAAAGTCAGGATATACATATCCATGTGAATATATTTTATATTGAAGTGCTGCTGTTCATGAGCAGAGCTTTTGAACCAACAAGTATCATCCAGTGCAAAAACATACCAAAGCAACGCTATGCAGACTGTGAAGAAGACGTTCACACAGAGAGATACACCAGCAACAGCCAAGAGAAGAACTGTCATAAGAAATAACCAAATAATAATATCAGTCTCATATATATAATAATCTACATCTCAGAGCTCTGTTTGAATGTTGCATTTATGAAACAGTGAAAACATTGTCCACTAAATAAAGCTAGACCTGTCAGGTATACATTATGAAGGTTTGACATTTGATACATAGACTGCACTGTCACTTAATCAGTAAAACAGACCTTGACTTTGTGCAGATGTTTGAGGCTCAATGCTGTTGACGCAAAAATGTCGACTGGCAGATCCAAGAGAGTTGGAGCTGCGGCAGAGCAGGGTGGAAAGATTTTTCTCCTGTGGTTGATCCACAGTAAGGTTGCTCGTCAGACCTGTGTCACTTAGGTTGCTTATTGCAAAAGAGTGATTGACAGGTGACCCGTCCAAATACCACTGTAAAGTGGGAGAAGGATTTCCCACAGTCCTGCAGGAACATCTGAGCTGGGCTTCAGCTATGGTACAATGAGATGAGGGCAGGATCTGTGGGGAAACTGAAACACATGTAGAGAAAACAGACTTTAGAAGGTTAGAGTCAAATAAAGACACATTTAATCAAGTTTGCAAAAATTAAATACAAAATGTACTGATAGAAAAATAATTGTTGAAAAGTGATGCAAAGCAAAATGTTCCATTACTACAGGAATAATGAACTGCCCGAGTTAACTAGTAACATGTATTTATCTGTTCAAGTATTTATAATTTTGTCCCATATTGTCTTCTATACAGATAAGGGACTGTGGAAACATGGACTAAATTTGGCAAATTTATATCAATGAATAGTTAAAAAGATAAAGAATAAATTATATCACTTAGAAACTGATCACAGCATTGACTGGGAGTCAGAGCCATTGACAAGAACTCAGTTGACGGATGTAGAAAGATCAAGGAGGCCACCACATCGGACACCAAAGACCATACATGAACAGTCATGGTTTTAATCTTCCTCCATATGCAATTGCATGTTATCACGTGACCAAAGTTCCTTACTGTTTTGTCTCCTCCTTTTGAGGGTAGATCAAATATTAGAAACACCTCTCAGTGTGAAATTTAACCTCTCTATAAGTGTTTATGTAAAGACGTATGTATAATACAATGTCACATTAATAGAGATTGAGTAATAAAATGTCTAAATTAATGCAGTAAATAAGCAGATCAAATTAAGAGCTGTACGAAAAACGAAATAAAACAGATAGATACATTAATAACTAAACAGTCAAACTTTTCTCTCAATTTACTGAAATATTGCTTTACCTAACATAAAACTTATGAAATGCGATACTTACATTGAACATCTATTTGACTGATGTTTGATCGTCCAGCTCCAAGATCATTTTGAGCCTCGCAGGAAAACAGATTGTCGTCTTTAGATACTTTAATGTTAAAAACAGCTCCGGCCTCAATAAAAGTCTCCTGATCTCCATCAGCTCTATACCAGGTGTAGTTCTTTACAGGCGGGTTGGCGCTGCTGCTGCATGTCAGAGTCACATTTCTACCCTCGGGTACTGGACCAGAAGGATGGACTGACACCGCTGTGTGTTTGGGGGAGTCTGAAAAATGAGTAATGAAACATAAATATAATTATCCTCTAATTGGTGTTATCTGATATAGAAAACCAATAAATTTTACAAAGATTTCAGAATGACTTTGTTTTTGTCAACTGATAACGAATTTCATTATTGCTTAATCTGCTTCTAAATTTTTCTATTTATAAATATATTGACGTTAAATATTCAAATAATAAATGAATGACAAATTAAGTCAGTGTACTGCATAAAGCTGTAGCTATTAGGGTATGCAGAATGTTTAACATTTGATACATACACTGAACATCTATTTGTCTCTTGTTTGATCGTCCAGTTCCAAGATCATTTTGAGCCTCGCAGAAAAACAGACTGTTGTCTTTAGATGCTTTAATGTTTAAAACAGCTCCGCTCCCAATAAAAGTCTCCTGGCCTCCATCAGCTCTGTACCAGGTGTAGGTCTTTACTGGCGGGTTGGCGCTGCTGCTGCATGTCAAAGTCACATCTCTGCCCTCTGATACTGGACCCAGGGGACGGACTGACACTGTGGTCTTTTGGGGTGAATCTGAAAAATGATGAATAAATAACTTGTATTATTTATAGGTTTAAAAGTAATGTGTTTTTTTTTAAGTGAAAGTAGAATATGTTAAATGTGAGTGCTGACACCTTTTCGAAAAAATGCATTTCGGATTGTTGTTGTTTTTTTGTGAGGGGAATGTTACCAAATCCACTTTGCTGACTCAGCTCAAGTTAAAGCTTGGTGCAGCATCAATGGACAGTGAGTGAGAACACAGCTCTGCCAAAAAAAAAAAACATTACAATTTGCCAGAGGCCAATCTCGGAACCCACTAGCTCTCGCTCTAATGACAATAACGCCTCTAAAGCCTCTGGGGGTAACATCTAATATTTTGGTGGTTCTGGTTTAGCCAATGGATATTCTGGAGGAGACATAATCTTGCTTGTGCAGGTCATTTCAGTATGTGGATGTGGATACATTTTTAAAAGGCTAAATCGTCATCAATGTTGGTGATGGGTTCCAGTATTGCATTTCAGCCAATGTGTTCTGCCTCTCTTGCTCTCCACACAGACTGTCAAGCTGCCTCTTAAATGTGATTGTGCAATGCTGCTCGGACTACAAACAGACTACAAATGGAAACCAGAAAACTTCAGATACCAAAATCATTTTCAGACAACTTGCTGTCTGACCAAAAGTTCAAACCCAAAAGCATTAAATGCACAATGGTATCAAACAGAAAAAAAGTTGCAAATCATCATAGTTTGGAAACAGTACACTTTTATTTATTTATTTATCTTAAACAAGTATGATTGATAGCTTATCAAAATTATTGACTAATGGATTAATTGTCTTGATTGTTTCAGCCCCGATTCAGACTAACTCAAAAACACTAGAAGACAACAGAACAATTCATCTGCAGTATATTGTTAATCATTCTAATTAATTTAAGGACAAATGAACTCACATGAAATGTCAGCTGTTAAACTTGTGCTAACAGCTGACTCAGTGCTGCCATCTTGTTTGTTGTAGGTGGCAGTACAGGAGATTGTCTTTCCATGATGGAGGTGAGAAGCAGTGAAGCTGACAACAGAGGTCTGGACTTTAGTTTTGTCCTGATTCTCCTGCAGTGTCTCCTGACTGTCACCGAGGCCGGGGGTCCATGTCAGAGTTGGAGGGTGAGACAGACAGGGAGCTGGAGCAGAGCACGTCAAACTCACTGAGGTTCCTTTCTTCACCTCCAGTGTGGACGGAGTCGGAGTCAGAGTCGGTCTGGGTGGATCAGCTGGTGGGAAGGTAGATTTTGACCAGTCACTGAATAAACAATCATTTCTCTATATTTGTCATACTGTTTGCAAAAACAATAAATCCAAAATATGATTAAAGCAGTTCCACAAGGGAAGAGAATGAAATGTAAGTAAATGGGGTTTAAAACATACCTCTGACTGCAATAGAGATTTGATCAGGAAAAGTATAACTCAGGCCTCTGCATTCCAGTCTGAAAAAATATTTTTTGTTGTTGTCAACAGGTTGTATGTTTTTCAGGGTTGTGGTGCAGTCTTTTTTGGTCAAGTTTCCTGTCAGTTGTCCGTTGTTTGTAGTTGTTTGTGTCTTGCTGCTATCAAACACAAAAGCTCCATCTTTACTCCATAGTGCTTTACATGTGTTATCTAGCTTCGATTCATACTGGGCCGTCACGTCAAAGGAGCAGGGGATGGTCACACAGGATCCACTAACAACCTCTATAGTCTGTGGTATTATGACCTTAAACTCTCCACACAGGGCACCTGAAACACAAGATACAAATCTTTGAATAAGAGCAAGTGAATACTTTTAATGAGGAATTTATTTACTGTTTACTGGTTGCCTTAGCGCTATACATACTTCTTAGAATAAGTCAAAATGATGACTGTAAAGATTGTGCATTGTTCCCACAGTAGTTTTTCCCCCAGATGTTCAGATTAAAACCTGTCAAATTAAAGTTCCAAGAAAAAACCAGCTGGACGCTTTTGTTGCTCACTGTTTTAATTTTCTGCAGTATATATTACAGGTACTGTTGTATTGTGGTGTGAATGCTTGACTTCAATACTGACTAAACGACTCACCTTGCAGCACCGAGCCAATGAGAAGGAGAGTCAGAGCTGCAGCCATCTTTGTGTGTCAGGAGAGGCAGAAACTCTGGAGATTTTACATAGAACAATTCACATTACTGTGTTTAATCTCTAATTATTTCAGGTTTGTAGAGTAGGTTGCAGATGGAGAAATGTTTTGCTGTCTCTTCTTCCTCTTTTACATCAATGTGGAAAAGGCTTAAGGGAAGCCTGTGAGGGATTCTGAGACACTAATACTCAGATGAATAATATCACTGCTTGTGACTTAATTCCTTTATTGATCCATGAAATAAATTGCAAATACCCAATCTATTATGAAACTTTGGTGATGGACATTTCCAACAAAAGTGTAATGTTGGTTCAGTATTTCTGCTGACTCTGAGAGATTTGCAAAAA